AATTCTTAATAAGAATTTGATTGCTTCGAAGAGATAGAGAGAGAGAGAAATTTTGGTGAAAATGCAAATCGTTTGACATAGGTGTATTTCGTGTGTTTGATCCATTGTCATTCTTCGTCGATGTTGAATTTACACCAATCGAATTGATTAGAATTTCCTGAAATTTTTTTTTCTTTCCTTCTGAATTCAGCTTTTCCAAACAAAACAAAAAAAATCATTTGGGAAATGATTTTTCCTTCATCGTTGCAACGATGAATAAATTGATTTTTTTTCTGTTTTGGATGATAGCAAAATCAGATTGCAATCATACAAACAAACACACAGACAAACAGAATATTCTGTTGACAATAATAACCAAATATCAATCGAAAGAATCATGTTTTTTTTGTTACCTTGCCAAATAATTGATTTTTTTTGTCAGAAAACGATTTTGTAGCTGGAGTCAAACGCTACAGAATCATAATTTTGGATGGATGATTTGATTTTTCTGGTTAAATTTGACCATAGAATTTTTTGTTTTTTTTTTGAAGTGAAAAAAATTGAAATCATCTGACTTCCGTCAAACAAAACACACTATGTCTGTATTCTGTATTTCAAAATGTTTGAAATATTCTGGTTCATTCAACACACATTCATTCATTCAGTTTGAATATTTTTTTATTTTTTCGGTTAATTTCAAGCAATTTTTCTTCAAGTTTACATTTCACATCGTTGTCGGTTTTTCTGTCTCACTACCAATATCAATATTTTCTGTCGTTGATAATGTTTGTTTGATTTATTTTCGTTCGAAAACGAAAACTGTATCAAAAAACAAACATTTTGCAATGTAAAAAAGAAAAACTTTATTTCTTAGTTTCAGTTTCAGTTTCGTTTTTTCGCTGGAACGTAACATGTGTATGTCTTTCATTTGCTTGCTTTCAATTGGAAACATTTTTTTTTTCATTGACATCATCATCATTATCATATGATTCTGATAAACATCATTTCTGATGGTTTTATGTACATACATCAAAACAAAAAAAAAACCAATTCCCAATCCCCCTTTACCATTCAAATTTAAATTCAAACATATTTTTCGATCATGATAAGGGCCAAAAAAAAAAAAAAAAATTCTGTGTGTACCGTATGACCAGAAATGAAATTGAAAAATTTCGATTTTTTTGTTGTTTGAATTAGAGAACAAGAAGAAGAAGAAGAAAAAAGCGTAGAAAAAACAAAATTCAATTTGGTCAAGCTTTCAAAAATTATATAGTTGAAAACAAAGCAACAAAGAATGCAGGTAACCAAAAAATAATGATTTGACATTTAAACAAAGAAGAAGATTTCATTTGGAAAAAAAACTAAGATACGGTAAAAGTATGATAACAAATGATGGTTGAAAAGAAAAAAAACATTATTATTATTATGACATTTGTGATCTTCTTCTTCTTGTCGATTTTTTTTATTTTATTTTTTCAGAAAGATTTTCCTATCTTTTATCATAATTTCTGAGCTAAAGATTTTTGTTTTTCGTTTTACTTTTTTTTTATTATCCTTGTCGAATGATAATACCGAAAGAGAGAGAGAGAGAGAGAGAGAGAGAGAGAGAGAGAGAGGGGTGGAAGTTTTACTTTTTGCTTCATTCTTTTTCTCTACGATCTTCTTTTGTTTAATTTTCTTTTTTTTCTTTCGATTCTATAGGGGTACCTTGGGAGATTTAACGGACACGAAACAAGAATAACATGGTATTCTCTCTCTCTCTCTCTCTCTCTCCCTTCGGTTCATTTTTTTTTTTGATTACAGAAAATGAAAAATTTAAATAAATAATAAATAAATAATTGAAAATAATGAATAATCGGATTAACGGATTTTTATCAGTACATTGAAACAGAATATGGAAACGAAAGAATTTCTTATATAACCAACGACGACGAAAAACGAAAAATTGACAAGATGGATAGAGGCTTGAATATACATTTTGGAAAAGTTTTCATTCTGTTTTGCTGGTCTGGTTTCAATTTTGCATTGTTTTGTTTTGTTGTCGATGTTTTCATCATCTGGTATTAGGTTATTATGGATGGATTCGGTTACACTTGTGACAGCTCTCAAATAACCTTTTGAATATTTTTCTTTTTTTTCTTTCTTTATCAAATTTTTGTTTGGGCAATTTTTCTTAATAATCATATAATCAGGTAACATTTGACAAAAAAAAAAAAGAGATTAGAAACGAAATGAAAAACTCTTTTTTTTTAATCATATATTTCATCTATGAATTATCATTTTGTACCTACCCAATGTATTTACTTTTTCTTTTATCAGATTCTTTCTCTCGGATATCAAAGATAGATTTGATTCTTTCTTTTCATCTTTTCTTCATCTTATTTTTGATCAATAACGAAAAAAAGTCAAGTAATACAAAAAATGAAGAAGTGATTTTTTTTCATCAATTTTTTATCAAAAAATCGTATAGTTCACTATCTATAATATCTTATCTAAATACATTAAGATTTTTTGG